ATACTTGACTACTAATTAGGCTAAGCATAGCTGGCAACCAAATACCCCAAGTACGTGACTTTTCCCACCAGATACCAGTGAGACAACCCCTCCACTAGAAGATGTCTTAGGAAGTACTCTAAAGGAAGTAACATAGCAACCATCAATGCACATAGGTGTCTCAAATAAATTAAGAACAGAGAATGTGAGAAAATTCAGAGAAGGCTGATCATAAAAGCCACATGTTTACTTAGTCTACTAGGTATAGCTTTGAAGTTAGAGAACCAACACTATAGAGCTAAGATTGTTACAGGGAAGATAAGACTAAGACATCAAAAAAAAAAAAGATACTGTATGTATTGGTAGTTACAGAGTAGTATAGCAGTAACAAGGTGGTAGAAACATTGCATATGATAAGATAAGTGCTCAATAAAGCCGGATAAATCCTGTGAGCTTCATGGCTAAGAAAGGATTCAGGAGCTTAAACTGAGACTTAAGGGAAAGGGAGAATTCCCACAGGTAAGAGTCCTTGAAGGGGCATTCCAAGAGTGGAATCAGTTGAGCCACTCAAAGCACACTGGGAGAGTTTGGAAGGCAGGGCAGTGGGTGTATATGGGTAAAGAAAAAGAATACTAAGCAGGCAGACTAGTTAGGTTAAGACAGAAAGTTTACAGAAGAGACAGGGGATAAGGATGGATAGCCTGTCTCCAAATTTTGTGTGCACTTTGAGCTAGTAATCCCTCCACCTACAAACATATAAAGAAATAGTCATGGATGTATTTACAGCTACCAGAATTTCACAGACTTTGTGGAAATCAGAAGCAACTGAAAAGTCCAACAATAATTGGTTCAAGTATGAAACACCTCAATAGTGAAACATTCTGCAGCCAGAAAAAAAGTGTTTTACAACTTAGAGGCATAACATAATACATCCATACAAAATTAGGTATGGGAGCAGGTTCCCAACCAGATTTTATTTTTATGGGGAAAAAGTGTATGAATATGAACTCTTGCCTACATACACACTGGCACATGTATCAATGCCAACGGCACTTACTTCTAGGCAGGGGGAAAAAAAAGCAACTTATATCATTTTGCTTTTTGTTTTTCTCTATTGCCTACATTTCCAAAATGAATATCATCTTGGTAGGAAGAAAAGTAACAACAATGAAAGTTATTAATAAAAAAGAAAATAAATGGTGGCTGGGACTGACTACACAGATCACTGGATGCTTGTCTACGGCATTTGTAATCTTATTCAGTAGGCAGAGAATTATCAAAGAAAGTGTGTGGTGGGGGAGGGTTTCTTTAAGTCAAAAGTCAGTATTTTGAGTAGGTAAGAAGTAGAAAAAATAGTAGAAATTATTAAAACTTTTAAATGCAAGGAAGGTGATCCAAAGGAAGAGGGCTCCTGGCAAGGCAGAGCCCGGGAATTTTAGGGAAGAATATCACTTCATGCCAGCATACCAAATGAAAACACACAGAGCTAGGTAGCTAGGAAAACCCAAACAGGCAGCAATACTTTCTTAGCCCCTACTGTGCATGAAGCACTTTGTCAAACCTTTGAAAACCCACTATTATTCCAGTCTGTCCTAAATAAATATATTTATTGAAATGGGCAAAAAGTCCAAACCTCAGCTTTCCTCTGCAGTGACCTGTAAAACTACAGACTTAAAACACATAATATTGGAAGAGAGAAGAGGATTGAGTCTTTGACATTTAGGGAAATTAATGTTTTGCAATAAAACCTCACATTTAAAGTACTGTAAAAGATAAACTAGCTGTTCAGGGGAATTGGTGTCAATACTAAAGAGTATTAAGACTAAATGCTCAAATCAAATATCTGCTCACAAAACCCTCTGGAAAAGCCACATCAGTTCACATGTAGGATGTATGTGCCGTGCGTTCCAAGGTGATGGATGCTAGCATGACAACAGCTATAATAATGGCCTATCTTCAGTAAGCATTCAGTGGCTAGAAATGAGGCAGAAAGTGAACAAAAACATTTGTTTTTGTTATAATAAAAGGAGAAAAATATCAGGCACTCCAACTGAAAGGGGAACAGTTGAGTCAAATCTCATTAAGATGCACACTGAACAGTCAGTGTTGCCCTTTGCAAGAGACATTTAACAGATCATGGTGGGCCAACTGGACTTATTCTTTACAGTAGACCCATTCCTGTCATCAAAGGCAAGTCCAATCATTGCTCCAAATTTGGGGATTTGTCCAGAAATTTCTGAGCTTGTATGAAGCCAAGTCTTTCTCCCAGTAGACCCAAGATACAAAGCAAAAGACTGAAGACATCCATAGCAAGGGAATTCTATCACAACCGAATTCATTCTTTCATCATTGATTACCTTCTCATAAGATGGATATTACCATAGACAGTTCAGTGTGAAATTAAGATTTCTCATTAATGAAGCTAAAATAAAAGTATGAGTTGATTGCTTTCTCTGTCATGGTCTTATCATAGAAATGACCATAAAGTACCTGATCCAAGACAAAGCACTAGAAAAAAAAACTTAAAAAAAAAATAACAGCTCAAGTACAGATTTAACTACCACATTTGGGAAGGTGGTGCAGACTTGTCAATCTTCACCTTGTTTGGCTGGAGTAGGTTAAACAAGTTTGACATCAAGCTTGTTCCTCAACCATGGATCTTTATTGAGGCAAAAACCAATTTGCACAAGTTGACCCTTAAATGCTGCATCATACAATTACAGAGACTACAGAGTTTAAAAGGCACAGCAGCACTGATATTGAGTCATGATGGCTGTCATATTAATTAATAATGATGTTCACTAGATAATAGTCTATACTTAATAATGCTGTGCAAAAAACAAACAAAAAACCAAAAATGCAAACCAAAAACAGATAATTAAACTTCAAGGGGTATAGTGGTGAAATAACATTTGCCCCTTTCTGCCATACAGTGCTAAGAAAGAGTCAATAGGCTTGCTAGTATCACATCATATCTGAAGGATGTGTCAAGCCAGCTCCTTAGAGCTCTGATCATGTAAGATGGGGATACCGTGACCTCTGGTTCCTCTGGAAGCTACTCCTATTCTGGTTCTAGGATTCTTACAAAGCTGAGACCCTACAATATAAATAAGGAAACTGGTGCAGTAAAATCTTCCAAAGTATATCTTAAGATGAGGAACCAGGATGATAGAGGGATTTTGAAACCACATTCTGGGGAACAGTTGAAAATTTTCACATTTGGAATTGTTAAGCCAAATACAGAACTGAAGACCATTTTAAGGAAAAGAGGGAGGAAATATCAACTGGAGTAATGTCCCTGGGGAACTTCCAGCTTGGTAACTCTATGAAGAGCTCCAAAACATGAGTTTCTTTCCTTATCAATGCATTAAATTCTATACTGATAACCTTGACCTACATACAGCTCTAAATGCTCCATTATCACGTTCTACTTCTAAAAGTAAGAATAGATTCCTAAATTCTACAAATAACTTATCAGTTGATTGTCTATCTGCAGTCAGTCATCAAAAGAGGAAATGAACCTAGAATTCTAAAAAGAATTCTTTGTTGCCGTAAATAATGAAAAATCATCAGATTCACAGAAATTCCAAATAAAAGGGTTTCAACCTGGAACGAGCCTTCAGGAGAAATGGGTAGTATATCTGGAAAGTAATGCCGATGACCAACTGCTGATTGGTTCAGACAGGGTTATATTTTGCAAAGACTTCCTTTGTAGCAGGAATAGTGAAGGGCAGACAACATAAATGAATATGTCTTATTTGGGACACTTTTACTGGTTTGTTCTACCATTATTTCGGGTCAATGTTCAACTATTTGACTAAATGGCCAAGCCGAATCTTTACTTTCAAGTAAAAATGAATTATTTCTTATGAGTTATAAGCCTATTGGTTCCCAGTTTCTTAGAAAATACCCTGCTACTAAGGAGTTATAAAAATTTGAAATGTTTCAGGTGCAGATTTTTGGAAGTGTGTACTTTTTCCTGTTTAAGATGCTCTTCGTTGTCACTTCACAATGGCCTGAGTCACCTCTTGAAGTGCCATGTCGGCACCTGGACAACATACTTCTCCAATGTTAATTGTGCTTTAAAGAATCATAATAAATACCAAAATATTGTCAGAGGACCTTGTGAGAAAGTTCTTTGGAAAGCATCTTTACAAAATTTTGATAAGCCCCACATGTAATTGTTTTCAATTTTGAACTTAACAATATTATAGAGGATAAATTTGTTTTAGTGAGGAGGCTGTTCTGTAGGGATGTCTCAAAATATTCATGAATTGAATGCTGCAAACAATATACCATCTAAGAAACTTCTCAAGTTTCAGTGTTAAGAAAATGGTTTAGTTAGTTCAGCAACTAAAGATAAAATATAAACAGTAAATACTTTTAAAAGACTCTGTTTGTTTTCTGAGTCAGGATCTTAGGTAGGTTAAGTTGGCCTTGAATTTATAATCTTCCTGCCTCAGCCTCCTGAGTGCTGGGATTATAGTCATGTATAACCATGCCAAGCTTAAAAAAACCTCTTTACTATACTTAAGAGGGAAGGAAGGAAAGAAAGAAAGAAAGGATTGTTGAAGCAGTTTCCAATCCTACTAAATTCTTTAATGTTTCAGGATCTTAACACACTTATTAGAAACATTTATACTGTTTTGTTCAAGGAAGGGTGAGAATCTTTCCTTGGCCACACCCCAAAAAGCTGCTTGACATGTCTAACTCAGAAGTGACCTCAAACAACCATTTGAGATACACAGCCTCAAGAATTTCTAAGCAAAGACTACAGTCAATTTTTAATGAAGAGTACTTGAGAAGTCACTTACACAACTGACCACATATGAATCAGCTTATTTTGATAGAGTTTTTAGGAGAAAAGTTATATAATATATAATATAAATATGTATATAAATATATAAAATAATCAATTATATACTACAGAATGTTATATATCATACATTACTTGAAAATATGTAAATAATATATTAGTTACATATAATACATTAGATAGATAACAGGAACTTGAAGGACTTTAATAATTGTCTTCTATTGCGATACTTTTAATAATAATAATATAATGAAAATACCACCTTAGACTTCAATATCAAAAATGCTCCCACAAATATTAACTACTCACTCTCAGTTAATGTCCTCAAAATCCAGTGACATAAGGCAAGGTACATATTATTGCCCACTTCATGCACTAAAGAACCTGAAAGTGTAAATATACAGTGACTTTATCCAGGGAGCGACAGATCTATGGGTAGGGCCAAAGATTCTCTTGACATCCCTCCACTGCTCTTTCAACACCACTGTGTTGTCTATTCCCAAAAGCACAGGGAAAGTCCCAGCAACAGAAGGGAGAGAGGAAAGCACTTTTTCTGTTTGATAGGATTTAGAAACAGGAATTGGGCTAGGGAAAGTTTATTATTAAATTCAAGCAGATCCCTCCCTCCCCTGGAACTCTTGAGTCTCTCTTCTTGATTTCAGTGTAGACTCCTCTCTTTTTATTTCTTTTTCTAAAGACACATTGAAGATGAAACCATTCATAACTGCCCATCCACAGACAGTTTGTGGCAGCATAATTGACAATGAGTATGCTGCAAAAAAATGAAAATGCTGTTTTAATAACCTTGGCCTAAAATGCATTTTGTTGTATGCCTCAAAGGGTTTCAATAAAAAGCCAACCTGTAGAGACACATTTTCTTGGCTTAAACAACAATCCAAAGCATATAAATGTGGTCCGAACATAATGACATATTTATAGGCCAATAAAGCTTACACTGCAGCTTTCATACTTCACTTAAAGGAACTCTGTAAGAAGCAGTGTTATAGAAAATAATTTGATTTTTTTCAAAGTATAGCCCAAGGAATAAAAAAATGCAAGTTTGCCATGTTTAACTGATAATGATTATATTCCTTAGTTGCTAAAAATTTTGTAAAATGAAATAATTCTTCATTTGACTACTTCCAACTGCCATATCAAATATGGGTATCAAGTTCACTTTATTACAAAAGCTAAGTACTGTGATTCTAAAGACAAAAATAAATAACTAGAGGCTTGTGTAGTGAATGATTTAATCAACCCGATTCTTCTGGAAAAACAGGTTCTTGTGTTCATTATGCTTATGAATAATACAGTCCTTAACCCTTCTATTTTAACACGGTTATTTTTCTTCATCTTTAAAATAAACTTCATTATGAAACAGTCTGAAGGAAGGTAAAACATCTCACCCAAAGAAGTCACAATTTGCATGGTTTCATATGGAACTTTCTTAATAAGAGCAGAGAGGGAGGGAGACAATGAACGTACTTCGTCACATCTCAGAAGCGTTTTTAAGATTATTAGTTTTCCACTATTCCAACCTGCAGTTTTAGTCAGCAGTCATTTAGAGTATTAAATGAAAACTCTAGATATTGTTAAAAAACAAACAGGATATCCTCAAATATTATCCAAATGTGCTACTGCACAGAGAGGAAAGAGTTGTGATTTGAATCAGAGTAGTTATTGGAAGTTGCCATTTGGGGCAGAGTTCTTCTTTGTGGAGTACAAATTTATTGGCAGACACACTTTTGTGAGAACATTCTTGGTTTCTTTTTGAAAAATTATTTATTTATTTATTTATATTATTTAGAGACAGGAGGTGACACAAACTGGGATTAAAGGGAATTTATTCTGCCCAAACACAGCCAGAAGAGTTCTTTAATTAGCTTTTGGCTTTTATATTTTAAAATCCAATCTCTAAGAGTCAATCTAATTCTTGCATTATTAGTGAGTTTTTTCAAGCAGAGTGAAATAAGTCAGTTTAAAAAAATAGCATGTTGAAGTTTTACTTTATAGAAAGGTGAGATCTTTCCATTCTTTGCTTACTTCCATGGCGGGGGGAGAGGGGGGAAGAGGAGGGTCTTAAGTAATCTCACAGTTCATCTTTCTTTGGTAAGAACAATGAAGAGTTGGAAGGGTTCTACAGAAGGAAAAACCTAATAAGTGTGTGAACTTCCATTAACAATGTGGTATTGGAGGTGGTTTCAGTGTGACCAAGAGAAAGAGAGATAAGAAAACCACTGTGTAGAAAGAAAAGTACAGACAACAAATATCTTGATGTTATACACAGAGAAAGGAAGAGGCTGAACAGAAAGTTGCTGGGACAGGATCCATGCACAGCAAATGACACCCCTGTCTCCCAATGTAAATCCTGACAATGTGGATTTTCCAACCTTAGATCAAACAGATAATAGAAACTCATTACATTAAGGAAAGTTTTTGTTTCTCTTTCCACATTATTACAACATGGTGAGCATTCCAATTACAAAAGCTATTTGTCTCAAATTCCCCACACTTCATACCAACTGAGTAGAATTTCGAGGCTCTCAATTCTATCCTTAAAGGGGTATTTTACATTTAAAAAAAGAGAAAAAGGTACATAGTGTGTTTCTTGCCCAAGAAGAGCCTCCTAGTCAAGTCTCCTGTTGATTATTTTTCCTTCCTCAGCACTAATGGTAAAGATGTCTTCCAAATAAAACCAAAAATAGAAAAAAGTCCCAATCACCCAAGAAGTTTTTATCAGTAGATATTCTTTGCCCTTGCCTTGGTCCCACAGAGAAGACTCTGGGGAAGCTGGACTTTTGGTAATCAGTATTGTTTTGTAAATTCCCCTAGTAAATCTAATGAGAAACTAGACTTAAAAATCACTAATCAAGATTTTTCTAGGCAAGCCACTTCTGCATACTTCAAATATTCATTATAAGCGCATTTGTTTTCTGGAATCAATTGCAAAAAGGTAAGTTATAGATATCTTTTAGCATCCAAGAAGATCAAAATCTCTTAGTCTTTTGATGAAATTAAGAAATTGGATTTCTTTTTGTCCTCATTAATAAACTACCCATTTGAAATACAAAACAACACAGCTATAAATACTCTTGTTTATATGTGTGACATCAAGCTTAACCATCCACACATCCTTTTGTCCCCTGTGGATTTCCTGTTTAATTTTTTATTAGTAACAGTATATTCCATAACTCAAAAAAAAATCAAACAAAGAAAGGGTTTAATTGTTAAGGAAAACATAAGACAACGGTAACACAACTGAGCACATACATTAGGAAAGCCATACAACCAATGCAATGTATTATTCAGTATTTTCACACGTCATAAATGTAGTCATTGTGTGTTCACAAAATTGGGGTGTGCAGCAGTATATATAAGGAGACTATTAAAAAATTCCTTGGCTTTAGAAGGAAAACCACTAGTTTAATAATTTTCTCTAATTGTGCATATGACAATCAGGCTGGCATGTCCAAAATATTACTGTCTGACATCTACCAAAAGAAGCCAGGAAACTGTTGACTGTTAAATTGCAAGAAAATATTAATGCTATTCCCAAAACACAGTACAGCTCATCACAAACCAGAATCACATGAAAGACACAGTCAGTCACTGGTGTTATTCAGTCTCTTTATGCCAATTAAAATAAATCGTCTAGGTTTCTTGTAATAGTTATGTTCTAGGTTTAAAAAAACAGGAAGTTGTCACATTAAGGCATAAAATAGGGCTATGAAAATCAGCATTGTGTTAGAATGAAAGAAAAAGATGCCTTAATAAGTTAAAAGTGAAGTTCCTCTTTGCCTAAAGAGGAAATAACTTGTCTAAATCAGAGGTCAACAACTTTGGTCTTGAGCAATGCTAGAAGAGTAAGTCAGGCAAGGCCACAGGGGGATAGAAACAAAAGGAGAAGAACAAGGAAAGGACACAAAAATCACTGGAGAAATGTTAAAGCAACAGAATTAGTTTCGGAGCCCCTCCTGGCTACTATCATGAGGCTAGATGCTATTTTATCATGACCCTATTTTTCACAAGTGGAAACTGAGGTTTAAAGGTTAAATGATCTGCCTAATGCCTCACAGTTAAGTGTCAGAGTTAGTATTCAAACACTAATCAGAATAGCCAAAGCCCAAGAATGGGTAATACTACAACCCAAGTTCTTTCAATTTACAGTGGGAGAGGGGAGGAAGGAAAGGAAAAAACCATATAGTCAATGATGACCACTGAATGCTAAAAGCCCTAGAAATCTATGCCATAGCTGCCAACCTGTAGTTCCCCTGCTGCCAGCTTCTCTTGCTTCACATTAAGTGACTCATCCCTCTTCCTTGCCTTGCTTTCTACCCAATGTAAAACGTGAAATTCTGGCTTGGTGTTAACAGATGTCGTGCTGTCTACTTAGAGCAAATATTTAAACTCTTTGTTAATTCAACTTTAGTTGCCCTAATTAAGTCTTATATCTTGACAACACACTGAAAGTTGTTTAAGGCCTATGTCAGATCACCCAGCACAGGATTCTGCTGGGTTGGATCACACTGAAGGCCCTGTGAATCCAACAGGTAATATCTATTTTTTTCCCACCCAGGCATCTCTTCATCCATATTCTTAGGCACCTTTGAGAGGAGGACAATTATATATAAATATATAATACAAATATATAATTTCTTATAAATAATTATACCTTATATAATATATAATCCTTACATAATTTCATATAAATATATGAATGACAGGGTTTCCAGAAAAATCTGCAACAGAAGTGGGTTACTACATACGCCCACACATTGGATATAGAAGCACAAATTATATTTACCAAGGTCAGCCTTTTCCTTGAGAACATCTTTGAAGTTGAGTCCACTGTTGAGAGTTGACTGCCTGTACTTCAGCAGAGCTTCCTTCTGTCCGTTTCTTCCCAAAGCTTCAGTTTTCACTGGCCCAGCTCGAAGGCCACATCTCCACTTGGAGAAATCAGAATGTACCCACTTAACCAGGTCTTCAAGTTTCACAATCACCTTTTCAGAAACAGCAATGACTTCATCCTACAAAAGGTGGGATGAACAAAAAATGTTATTTATGGGTTGGAGATAAATAATACATTCTCAGTAAAGCCCAGCAGAAATGCCATGTGAGTGGGTTGACCTTAGAAGCAGACAGTCTGTGGCTATAAGGGTCAGAAAATCTCCAATAACTCACTTCATTTCACTGCAAGTTAGTTAAAGAATAATTTATAGGACATATTTGTTATACAGTTAGAAAGTATCCAAAAATAGGGCAATAATTCTGACAGTAATCTTTAATGCTGGTTGCAAACCATACTCTAACCTATCTAACCATTTGGGCAAAAGCTAATTTCTAGATACAATTAATTGCGATGTAATAAGCGAGGCTAGATGACTAATGATTAGCCTGTCTCCATATAAATGGCCTAAGTAAATCTAGGATTCTTGGAACTCTGACTCACCCCAAAATTCCTATGTTTATGGTACATTTTCCCTTGGCTTATATACAAATATTGAATTTAACTTTTGTCCTAAAAATTAAATAAAACTGTGATGTAATCCCAAAAGAAATACTTCATAAATGTTATGCGCTTCCCACTGAAAGAAACTTTCACATTCTCATGTTTCTCAAAAACTTTGTAAGTTGAGAAATGAGCTAGTTTTTTCTTTTAATACATATGGGGTAGGGGGTGAGAGTGTGAGTGAGGAGAAAGTCTTTGAAACTAAGAAAACTAGTTGAAACTTAAGTTCCTCCTATGGATCATAAATTTGAATTTTAAGCATCTCTAATTGCTTCCAGGAAACAACCAAATTTTCTGTCTCAGAACTAATCCAGGGAGATATTTAATAGATATCTGAATGTGGAACAGAGGGAGGGTCCCTTCACAAAAAGATTCTTTGGACAAAGGTTTACGAAGATCATCTCACTGGGTTTTAAGTTAAATTATTTGAAGCATTTGACATTTTAACTTGAACTGACTTCTTTCATTTCTTTTACTTCACATTTCTAAAGAAAGCTTAGCTGTGAAAACCCCTAAGCTTAGAAAATCTTTGAAATATTTTTGACAAAACAACAACAGGAAGATGTCCCTAAGCTATTAAACAAAAGGAATCCAACAACTGATTTTGGCCAATTTTGCTACTTAACATGACTCCTTCCTCTTTCCCCCACCTACACACATGAAGCTCACACCCCTCCTCCCACACAATCTTCCAATTCAAACAAAAAAGAGTTTATTAAGATAATTTTCATACAAGAAGCCCTGGACTTAGTTTTGTTTTGTTTTGTTTTTAAGGTAGGATCTAAAATTTCAGCTTTCCTCAGCCAGTTCCAAGCTGCTTCTAAGAAGAAAATTTGTTAGGTAGCAGCAACATAACAAATACTCTATCAAAAATGAAAATTAAAACTTTGGTAATGGAATCCTTATCATGATCAAGTATGATCTTCCAGTAAAGGAGAAACACAGTGGAAAATGTGTTTTCATCCTCTGCTCAAGAAAAAATTTCAACACTTTATAAACAATGGGGCATATTACAAAGTACCATTTCAAGGGATGATTTCACCCAGACTCACCACACCATCCTCTTGAAATAAAAGATCTGTAGTTGTCATGCATTTTATAGCTATTACATGGTGATTATTAAATGTCAGAATAAAAATTCAGGCTGGGTATTGTTTCAAAGCATATGGGAGCAGCTTCTGGACAGGGCATACCAGAAATCCAGTTTAGAATATACTAGAAAATAATAAAGTAACATGGTATATGGGTCTCAACGTTAGTAAAGATGGAATTTGGCAACATTTTGACCAAATAAAGTTTCCTAGAATAGACAAGTTTGGAGATGAGTGTTATTTTCAAATAGCTGTATGATCAAATGATTATCATTTCAATTACCAGTTGCTTCAGATCTTTTCCAAGAAATGGTATGACTAGCTCTGGCTGGCTTACAACATCTGCCAAACAAATAGTTTATTAACCAAGAGAAAATACAATCCTTCTGATGTAATTGATGAATAAACTCATCGTTCAAGATTCAGTCTATAGATTTTGTCCTTGCTTCTCTTCTCTCTGAAACACACACACACACACACACACACACACACACACACACAGAGAGAGAGAGAGAGAGAGAGAGAGAGAGAGAGAGAGAAACAAATGCAAGAACTCATTTAAACATGTAAACCAAAAATGTGAGTTGGGATTAATTGTGAAACCACCAATACATTTTGCTGTGGATTTGGAGAGAAATTGGTCCTGGAACATTGTCAAACACCAGGATTTAAAAGGAAATCTGATAAGCAGAAGAAGGGGAAACAACAAACCAAACCACCCCTCCCCCCAAAAAATAGCCAACATATATATAGAAAATGTCTCAGGAAACATTACTTTGTACACACAATGGCATAAATCATGTTTGTATTTACTATTCTGAGCAAGTGCTGACCAAAATTCCTAATACATAGCATTCTTGGGCAAGTCTGTATGTCTAAGAAAAGAATTTCAATAAGATTACATTGGGTCTTGGCAAACGGAGAATTAGCACTGGATAAATATTGCTGATTTACTTTAATACAGCACAAAAGGAACACAAAGAAATACACTTTGTTATTCTATTAATGTACCTTGACTTTTCAATTAACCCAGCTTTTGATCAATATTTATGTAGGCTATGTTAAGACACTAAGTCCTTATCCCCTTTCATCATTGTTTTACAGTATTTCTGTAATTTGGATTTTGTTTCTACCACTGTACAAAAATTGTTCATTTAGTCATAAACCCTCTAACTCAGAGGAGATAATCTAGTCAAGAAGTCACAAACCAGCCATGTGATGGCTTGCCCCTCTGAGTGTTGTAAAAATTGGAAATTTTATACAAAAATAACCAGACTTCAATCTTCTCTTATAAAAGAAAAAGAAAAAGAGGAACAACCAAAACCAACAACAAAAACCACTTGAAACTGAGTAGCAGAAGCTTTTTTTAGACAAAATGTGAACTCCCCACCACTCTCTACTACACTATATTCAGTCCACTTTTCTGTGACCAGCCTTGGCCCCTGCATAGGCACCAGATGTTTCAATTTATAGCACCTCTCTTGTGTTATTGACAAGGGCATTGAGATTCAGTGACATGTCATAGGGGTACTTATGGCAGAAGTTTGATGAGAATCCAGGTTTTCTATCTGCTAACCCAGTATCTTAGAACTCTGCAGCCAGAGTGCAGGGTTCAAATCCCAGCACTGGAATTTGTATCCCACAGAACCACTGGGCAGCATCCTCGTGCTTCAACTTATTTTATGTTTGTAAAAAGAAAAACAAAAGAGGATAATGATATGAACTACCTCTTATAATAATTGCCAGGATTCAACAGGTTAACACAAATGAAGTAATGTATCAGAGTTAGCTATCTGTCATTACTTTTCTACATTGTTGTTTTCCAAAGTGTGTCATGAAGAGATTAGTTTAGATTGTTCACAGGCAAATTATAGTGTGTGTGTGTGTGTGTGTGTGTGTGTGTGTATGTATCTTAACTTTCTTGTTGCTTATTTATGTTTATTTATGTGGTCATTCTGTTTATGGGAAAATGGTACTACTTTTGTATTTTCAAGAGATACAGAAAAAAATTTATAAATGAATCAGTTGGACAAAGTCATAAGTAAACACAGAAAACGTGGCTGTGGAACAAAAAATGGTCAAGTTACTATGACAGTGACTGAAAATTGGGTAATGCATTGTATCAGTGATTCTCAAAGTACAGTTCAGGAACCCTGGGAAATTCCTGAGGCCACTTCAAGTGGTCCACGAGTTCAAACAGTGATGACAATCTTACTAATATGTTACTGGCTTTTATTTTTTCATTGTCATTCTCTTTCAAGTGTATAGAGGGGTTTTCCAGAGACTATAATGTGATATCACAACAGAGCAAATGCAGAAGCAGATATGAGACTCCAACTCTCTATTAAGTTAGACTGTAAAGAAATGTGCAAAAACTATGCAAGTATGCCACTGTTTTCATTAATGATTTTGGTTTTGAGAATATAGTTAATATTCATAAAAAGTGTTACATATCATAATGTTTTTATGCTGTTATTTTTATTTTATTAAAAAAATTAACTTACAGTAACATGTCAGTTTTGGTATACAGTTCCATGAACTGTTTCTCAAAAAATATGTTTGTTACATTATTTATTTAAGATTAACAGAATTTTTTGAGGAAGGTGTCTCACTATGTAGCCCAGGCTCTCGAAGTCACAATCCCCCTGCTTCAGCCTCCCAGGTGTTGTGATTACAGGCATGCACCACCATGCCTGGTACATTTCCGTGATAGAATGTGAAGACAGATTCATATATCCACTATGACCATAATCATCAGACACAGACCAGTCTTTCACTGGCTAAAGCCCCTCATATTATTTCTTAATCATCACTCTCTCTCTCAGCCCCCACCAACTTCCCACAACTGCTTTGCTCCTGCTGTATTGAATCATGCTGTATGAAACCTTTTGCAACAGCTTCTTGCACTGGGCATAACATGTATCAACAGTTTTGTTGCTTTTTACTGCTAAGGAGTATTTCAAAGTCTGGATGGCTATAATACTTTGTTTATCCTTCAATGATTCTGAACATCTGGTCTGTCTCAATTTTGGTGATTACAAACAAACTGCTATAAACTCCGATGAACAAGTTTTTCTGTGTGAACATGCATTTTTAATTCTCTAAACACCAAGAAGGACTGCTGAGTCACATGCTAGGTGTGTAGTCAATGCTATAGAAACTGTTCAACTTTTTTTCCTGGAGTGGCTGTACCATTTTATATTCCCAACAACAAGGTGCCAGAGTTTCAGTTGCTCCTTATCCTTGCCAACACTTGATATTGTCACTGTTATCACTTGATACTGGCACTGTTATTTAACAGTTGCCATTCTAATGTATACATAGTAAACGCTAATCATGTTGTTAGTTTTAATTTCCCTAACGACCAATAATGCCAAGGTGCATTATTAGGTGCAAATTTGCCATCTGTATATATTTTCTGATAAAT